ATGACAGACGCCTCCACCACAACTTGAGTCTCGCACTTCTGCTCCTTTTCCATACGGGTCGGGCCGTTCTTCTCGAAGTCCTGCATGTTATGATGTCGCAGGAAGTTGACACTTAGTTGCCAGATTGGATTGGCGATGGCCTCTCAAAAAAGTGCAAGTCTGAGCGAGATGAATCGTGCACTCAGAATCATCCAGACAAAACTGGAAGACGGAGCTTGACACGAAGCTTACACCTGAGTCATGTCAGGATGCACCACTCGAGGCACACTGTGTATGCTCGAAGCACAGGGAGGAAGACATAATTACACCTACACGCAGCACGACAAGCAAACCCACGTGCTCGCATTCATGTATTTATGTCTGTACGCATGCATGTATTCATGTCTATCTGTACACGCCTAATCAACAAGTACATCGCGCATACTTGCAGAAGTGTTGACCTATTCATATGACATCTTAAATGTTGTCCATCTATGTAAACGTGCGAAAACAGCGAGAGAGAGAGAGAGAGAGTCTCAGGGTGGCGCGTGCCTCACTGACAACGTGAAAGGAATGGTACCGGCCTCTCCTGCAAACGCCGCGGTTCGTGACTTCCAACTCTACATTCAGCAGCTCATTCAGCTGCTACTGTACATTGCACATGACGCATCGATTCCTTCTTGGCCAATGTGGGTGACACTGGTGATCTAAACCATCCTTCGAGCCTTACAGATGCCCTTTGCGCAGACCTGCTACAGACCACTCAGCGCGGCTGTGCTTCTGTCGGGGGTCGGCGACAGTCCTTTTCCGGCTACGTGTCAGGCCACCGAGTAGGAAGGCTGTACCCAACCTCGGTAGACATCACCAGCAAAGCCCAAAGAAAGGGGTGTTCAGTTTCAGGGACCAGTCCCATGTGCACACAGCCACAACCAAGTTAAGCTCGATTTTGTTCCCCATGAAGTCATAATTCGAGCTCAGTGGTCGCAGACTGTTTCCAGAGCCAAACGTGTGTCTGTTAGTCTGCATGTGTGCGCTCGCGCCCTCTGTCGATGCTGTGATGTGCCTCCACACACAACAAGGGTACGTCTGCCAATTCAAGTCGCACAGCTGCGACATGTGCCCAGATCTGCCCATTGCACTTGAACAAGTCCTCCAAAGTTTTACAGCTTGAACATGCAGCTGTGCTTGAAGCAGAACCAAAGAGAGAAACGTCACGAAACCTCTCAGTGCTGCCACAAGAGCTCCCGAGGCAGCAATCTCGTTGAATGCTAAGGTCCGTGCACCAGCAGAGTGTTCGACAGAACAGAGCCTAGAAGACTGGCCTGAACATGCATTCTTTGGCGTCTTTAGATGTTGGGGTGGATTCGGGGCCCAACTTCAGAAACTCCCAACAGATCCGCCAGGATCTAACTGTCTTCTGCCCCTCGCGATTTGGGAACGAGTGAAACCCCTTCATCAGCAACAGTTTCGCTAGGCTAAGGCTCATCATCAATGGTGTTCCATAAGACTTCGTCCTGGCATCGCAGGAGTCACGCTGAGGGTCCAGGTGCTCCAGCCGCTGTGCTGCTGCCGTCTGTGCAGAGTCCGTAGCACAAAAAAGTGAGGTGGAACAACATCTTGTTAATTAAAGCCTCGTACAACTTTCGCTCTTCATGAAAGAGAGCCCAACAGGCCCTTGCCCTCAACCCTCCCTCAGGGAGCCTTCACTATGTCCAAGAGGTTGGATCGAATGGACCTTATTCGATGCCAGGTCTGCCCGAGCAGCCGTGGTAGGTTTGGGGCTAAGGGTCCAAAGTTGCGATCTGCGGTGCGGCGTTTCAGCGTGACTTGCTGGATCTCAGCAAAGCAGCCACATGTTCTGCTCTTTCAGGAGCTTCCGCTCGGCATATGTCGGCGGCTGTCGATGCTACCCCATCCTTACCTAGTTGCACTTCTGTAGAAACAACCAACCGACAGAAACGTTGCAAGATGTTGTCAGGACATTGAACTTCGAGCTCAAAGCCTGTTTTGAGCAAGATGCAACGAGTTGTAAAGGCTCACGATCCTTTCTCATAATTAAGTCCTCAAACCCAGGAAGCTTCAACACTGCCCCCCTATACCTGGAGCGATAGTTGTGGCAGGAGGCTGGATCGCAACAATCATCTCGACTGCATTGCCGAAGGTGGCATTGAGCAGTCCCGTAATCTGGGCATGCTGCAGAAGGTTGAGTGTGTCTCCGTGTTTGCCTTTTGAAAAAAACAGCCAGCACACTCCTGCGCACCAGAAGCTCGGTCTTGCTCGGATCTCAAGTTTACGAGTTTACGGCGCCATGACAGACAAAAGCTGCAAGTAGGTCCAGGACTAAGGTCCTTTTCAGTACATAACAGCGTCCAGCAGCAATGGCTCTGACCGATTCAATCTGAAGGGCCCGTTGTCTTGACCGGGTCTCAGGCAGTATCGTTATTGATAGAGCCAGCGAGCTCCTGTAGAGCACTGCATCAAAGAACGCGGATGTGCATGAGCACACCTTAAGCCAATTTAAGCCACATATCGAGGAGGGTGCCAGAGCCAAGCAAAACGCCGTCATCCGGAAGCCCCACGGACACGATGTTCGTGCGCAGCCCCTGCATTAACCCGGAACCTCCATCACGAAGTGTTGTCCTGAGCCGAACTCATACGCAAGAACTCTCCTCCGTGGCGTCGCCCAGGATCTTTGCAAGCGGCACCTGAGCAAAGCTCGTTTACCGCAGGATGCTATGTCAGCTTTTGGTACCTGCTTGTGCAGGCCAGTGAATGTGCACCAGGTTGACAATACAAGATGAATCAAATAAACGATGAAGAAGTTGTACATGTTTACACACAAACACACGCGTATATCTTAACATGGGCGTGTGCGTTTGCATGATCGATGCACATGAACGCATGAACTTGCAAGTAGCTTGCGCCAGCGACATCGTGAAAACACATATGTGCATGCATGCATGCATGCATGCATGCATGCAGCGATTCAGTTTTCATATCTGCCAGTCCGTAAAGCAAACCTTTGTGCTGTTGGCTTGTGGCCTCTCTGCCAGGGCACTTTTGTCTAGAAAACGGCCGTGGTTCTTTCTACAGACGACAGTGCGGGACTGCAAGGAACAGGCGCGAATGTGGCACAATTACGCAGCCGCAGAATTACATTCCATGCATCATTCCATGTTCGTCCGTTGGGAGTCTGCCTGATGGAGCTGAGCACCTACGCCTCACCGTCAACAACTTTTGAACTGATCGACACAGGCCACACACACGGGTCCTAAGCAGCAGGAAATACATGACATATTCTTGTTACCAACAACACTAGGTGGAAATGTTTGAAGGCAGTGAGCTCACCGCAGCAGACAGTTTAATGTAGCTAGATGTGAATCTCAGACTGGTCCGATATCAGCGTTCGGAAATCATTGCGCTTTCGGTCGCACTTGCTTCTGGTCGACTTCCTACTTGACACACTGTGGCCGCATGCTGGCGGTGACGACACTAGAAGTAGAACTGATTAACTGACGCGCGTCCCCACATCTCATAACAACCAGAAGCGGAATGTGCTAAGACTCTCAACATTCTGCCGTGACGTCTGCGGAAGAGACGGACAATGAGCAACTGCATTGGGCGAAGTTTGACCCATGGCTATTACTATTGTGACGACGACTTCTATACTACCACGACTACTACAGCGCTCGCGCTACTGCCAGTCTCCCTCACGACTCCACGCAGGCGTTGCTTCATGGATTCTCGCCCGTTAAAAGTAGGGCCCGGGCCAGCGCGAGGAAATTCAACCAGAACCTCTCAGAAGTACGTGAGGACAGCACACATGTCATTGTAGGTACTTTCGACGATCCTGAATTCGACATTTCCATGTTGCACAAACTGACAAGTCGCAGCCGTTGTGGTTGTGCAGAGCCTGAGGGCCAGACACCCAGGTATGCCCCCAGTTGGCAAAGTGGGCGACTATCTGCGTGCAAGATGCGCCCCTCTTCAACAGTTGTGGCAAGATGCAGGCCCCCTCCTCCTAGTCTTGCTCGTTATTACCATCATTGCGCACGTGCAGTTCGGCCACTTCTCCTTCATGCTACTGCAACTGCTTAGCCCGGAAAATCCCTGCGCTGGTAAACTCTACTGCTACTCCTACTACTCCCGCTCCTTCTACTAATCCTACTCTTCCTTCTCCTACTACTCCCACGGTTGCGGCCACCACCGCCACCGACTCCTACTTAGTACGACTGCTACCACCACCACGACGACGACGACGACGGCGACGACTGCTACTGCTGCTGCTGCTGCTGCTACTACTACCACTGCTGCTACTACTACTACTACTACTGCTGCTGCTGCTGCTGCTACTGCTACTACTACTACTACTACTACTACTTCTACTACTACTACCATTATCAGCACTACCACTACTACCACTACTAACTACCACTACTACCACTTACTACCACTACTACTACTCCTGCTGCTGCTGCTACTACTACTTCTTCTACTACTACTACTACTACTACTAGTATTAATATTGCTACTACTACTGCTACTACTACTACTACTACTCCTCCTGCTGCTGCTGCTGCTACTACTACTACTTCTTCTTCTTCTACTACTACTACTAGTATTAATATTGCTACTACTACTGCTACTACTACTACTACTACTCCTCCTCCTCCTCCTGCTGCTGCTGCTGCTGCTACTCTCCTCCTCCTCCTCCTACTACTACTACTACTACTACTGCTTGAACACAATGACCAGGGATTGCATAGCTGCTAGCAGCTAGCACTGCCTGCGGCAAATCCGAAATATATTTCGCTCTGAAAATGATCACCATAAACATGCAGGAATAATGCTTGAATAGGTAGGCAAGCTTCGCCTCAAGCTTCCTGCAACGAATTATGGCACGTGTCCTCATGTTGGCTACTGGGGGTTTCGGATTAATGGCAAAGCTCGGACTCATTGGCCTTGCTATCGAAAGATGTTTATCTGGCAGGCACCGTGCGACTCAAAGGGAGGAGCCCCGTTCAACGCATGTTGCTAGTTCCAAAACAACCTGCAGGACCAAGTAGCAGCCTGCAGCCGCAGCAGCAGCAGAAGCAGCAGCAGCACCACATGATGCTCATTGGAATGCACTGTGCTGCTAGATCGGGGATGATCGGGGCAGGCTGGCTTCCCACAAAGCGTTTGGATCTTCGGGCAAGACATGCCGGCAGGACCCCGAGTGGACAGGCCAGCAACAGAATACCTCTTACCGCAGCGTGACCAAACCACTGTCGGCGATCAGACGAGAACAATGCTACTGATTCACAACCCGGCTCCGTGCGTCATGGTCGCTGAACTGCATGCAGCAAATTGGCCGAGGGGCTGAGCGGATGATTGAAAATAGTTTTCAATCCCGCGAAGTTGTCAGTTCCTGGCATAGTCAACATTGCGACTGTTGACGTATTGCTCAAAAGCAGCTGCTGAGGCCACACACCCCTCGTCAACAGATCAAAACCAGACGACTTGGAACCGGTGGCTGGCCACCATACAGCTGGGACGACGAATGCCCTTCTTGAGGGCCCTGCCTACGATGTACATCACGCTATACGTCCTGGCAAGGGCATCCACCGGCTGTGTTACAAGAAGGTGTCTTCTGCGTGGATCGCGGTAGCCTAGCTGCGAAAAAGGCTGAAGCTTCAAGGAAAAAACATTAGCGCAGCGCGTTCGAGTTTAGCGCTTACTAGAAGGCGTACTATTTACTATTTTATGAGGTAGTAATTACCATAAAGGGAAGCTATACAAGGGATACTGGGCTCAAGGTTTCAGATGGCTCGCGCAGCCGTCAGGGCTTGCAGGTTTCTAGGCTTTTGTATCGCTACGTCGAAACCACAGGCGACGCCTTTGACAAGGAATTTGGGATCTCCAAGCAAGCATTCTTGATCATAGGCTTGCGCAGCACTGATGGGAAGCAAAGTGCTTCCAGGTGTCTTTGGCGCACGAGCCGGCTGCGGCTCGGACTCCACAGCGGCGACGGCTAGGCTCCTCACAACACCCAGTCTTGTGCAGCCAAGCACGAGTGTTGCAGCGAATGACGTTTAGAGTCTATGGGTTTCGTAGGATACATGGCTGGTCCGAGGTCCCCGCTCTGGAACGGACGTCGGCCGCTTGAACTCCACGTTGTGTAGTCGATGTCGCATCTTCATAGCCATGGCCTCTTTCCCGCCCCATGGTGTCGGGTCCTACTCCGTACTGAAAAGTGCTTGAACGGCGTATACCAGTTACTAGCCGACTTCGAAACTCCACATGCCATGTCTGTTGAATACCTGCTTTACCGTGAGATGGTGTGCAGAAGAAAGGGAAACCCCGGTGCCTTGAGCTTGATGGGGTTGATGAGAGCCGGCTTCGACGACAAATCTTCGAAGGACAGGGCCTGGTAGCGCCGCGGATGGACATGACGTTGACAATTTCGCAACAGCCGACACTTCACGAAACCAGTCGGATGAAAGCCACAAGTCGAAGCACCCATTCTGCAGTTTTCCTTACTGTCGGTCCAGCAGAGTTGTTGAGCAATGGCTGCGTCCAGTTTTGGCATGGCACGAGGGTCCCGCCCCGTATGCAAAGTTTGCTGCGATGCGCATGAAGCTGCCAGACCATGCATAGGCTTGTTGTCCCCGACAGACTTGCTACGTTTGCAGGATTTTGCAAGTGTATATGTAGCTTAATCATGGCCTAACATCTATTCCTCTCGGCTCCGGCTGGAGCAGTCAGAGGTTCCCACAAAACTCCCCGGTTGCCCCATGGTTGGTCCCCTCCCCGAAGACCCACCCCACCCTTTGGCAACTTTTGTCCGCGATAGGCAATCCAATCCAATTTTATTTCTCTCACCGCGTGGCACTCCGCACTACCACGCTCCCGCTGCTAAGACTGCTCTTCATCTGGCCGGGCCGACGGACAACGCAAAAGTTCTTCATTGCAAACCAGACAACTCCGTGTGCAGACCTGAAAGGATAAGCCGGATAAGCATGGATAAACAGCAGCAGTCCCGTCCCCAGCAACTACGCAATGAGAACTGTCATATTTTTGGCACATACAGGTTCCACGGTCAGAATTCTGTGCCAAGCTCCAAGCATCCCATTCACGCTCCCGTGGCTCTGCTCTGCCCCTGACGAGACAGTTCCGAGTTGAGGACTTTACAATCGTCTGTCGCAAGTTTGAGCCGAACTTCCCTTGAAACACATGCAGTACAAGGCTCGCATCTTCTCGGAAACTTGGCGAGTTGTGGCCATCCAAGAGCCCTTGAGCATCCCCAACAAGACGACTCTGACCAGTCTTCTTCACTTTGCAGGAGGCATCGAAAGCTGCGACCCGCTCCCTTCAAGCAAGCACACCGCGCTGCCTGGAAGACCTTGGGAATCAGACTTTGCTGTTTTGCGATTTAGGGCCTCGCGCTTTGCTCGCAAACAGAAATTCATGCCACAACAACCGGTATTTAAGCCAGAGAGCGATGTCCACGCGCAGCTTACATGTTGGGTGTTGGTTCCCACGTGGCGGGTCCAATTCCACCATCTGTCACGAGGATCTCGTCCCAAACACACCCGACCCTTGTGACAGTGGACATTTTCCACCCAGGACTCTGCCATGAGCGTATTGAAAATGCATCTGTGACTCGGATCGCGTTCCCGTCAGGCCCGTTTCCTGTGGGAGTTGACCCAAGAAAGGAACATGACGATGATGACGACGGTTTCGAAACACCCAGGGCGACCCAAACTGCGAACCACACCACCACACCACAGGGGCGGAGGGACTGAGAGTAGACCCAAACAAAAAAAGGGGGGGAGGGGGGGAGGGAGGGGGCAGGGAGGGGGGAGGGAGGGGGGGGGGGCGGCCGCACCGGGATCTTTATAATCATATAAATACATAAATAAATAAATATATACATATATATATATTATACACACATACATATGCATGTCTGTGTGTTTGCCTGTATCTCTGCATATGTAAGTACATCTGTATGTGCGTGTCTGTGAAGATATACATCTCACCACATACATTATCATCTATCTATATTTATTTGCATCTGTGCAGACAGAGAGTCAGAGAGATAGATCGAGAGATCGAGGCAGACCTATGGTACGCGGCGCAGAGGGCTCGGCTTTCGGACGTTAGCTTCTTTGACTTTCAGATTTGGAACTTGCGACCTTGTCGGGTTCGGGTTGGAGGGGGGTGGTTACGGGAAGGATACTTACGCCCGTGACTTCGCGATGAGTGCAGCTTTCCCATAGTGAGATTAGATTTGATTAGAAAACCTGTAGGTTAGATTAGATTGGATAGGTTAGACAGATCGGATAGATTATATAGGTGGACCGATAGATGACGATAGATACATGGGTAGATAGATACATTGCTAGAGCATGTGAGCCGGCAGGAATCCATCCTTCATGCGTGCATACAGACAGTTATAAACATGGGGAGAATCGTCATAGAAGTGTTGAAGGGTTCCGACCTGGGGTGCTGGATCCCGAAGCATTTCAAAGGGGCCAAGTCAAAATCCCAAGCTTTACTCGGCCCATGGCGCTGGGCTGTTTCTGACCACCAGCGGTGCATGGAGGGTCATCTCACCTGTGCTGGAGGAGCAGTTGCGGCAGCTGTCTACCACATTGGCCTGGCAACTGCACGTCGCGGGTGTTACTAATTATCGTATGTCATCCTGTCTCGTACTGGCCCCTTCGTCACGTAAGAACAGATGGGCCGTTCACTCAGCAGAAAATGCCTCCCCTGCATTTCTGACCACCCATCATGCCACTACCGCCTACGACCACGAAAGAAGCTTCAGTCTTCCGGCCACACACGAAATCGCAGGCCTGCCGTCGCCATGTGGCGCTGGCAAAAGCTGCCCTCTTGAGCTTTACAGCTCATGGAATGAACAGGCCCAGCAACACGTGAAGTTTAAGTGTTCGCACCTCCTATGAAAGACGAACCATGTGGCCCAGGTGGAACTTCACGACAAACAAAGGCAAAGAAGGTACAGTAGCGCAGACAAACAAAAAGCGCCTGCCGCTTTCGTGTCGGTGGGATGTCCAAGTCCGGAGCTGACGGCACTGTTTACATGCGGTCTTCGCACTTCTGGGCACAACCACTCCCAAGCGGAGAAGTTGATGACATTAGCAGCCATGGAGGCGATCCGCCCTGGCCATGCTCAGACCCTTCAGCTGCTATATTCCCTGCAGCTGGCCAATAGATGCAGTGCCTCTTGCTCAGCAGTGCAGACTGCAAAAAGTGGACAGTTGCAATACTAGGGTCTCCCAACCTCTACGACATAGTCACAGTCATAGTCACATAGTCGTTACCAACCAAGTTAACAAAGCTCAAGGCGCTGTAAGAACAATGCGGCAGGAAACGCGCAGGGCGCAGAGTTCAGATCGAGCTTCGCCGGTGCTGGGCCTGCAGGGACTGTCTTAAGCCCTGAATGCCATGCTCCTACGTTGCCACCATAACTTGTGTCCTGTGCCAAACGGAGTCCTGAACTATTCGTAATCTGACGGATGCCTGCCGCCGCCGCCGCGCCGCTCCCCCCCCCCCCCCACCCCCCATCCACCCACCCACCCA